ATTATATCATAATATAATGTCAGAGTCATATAAAATTAACATATACCATATGTGACCCTCAGTGGTTTCCCTCCTTTGGAAGATCTAGACTCAGAATCCCAGCTGGTCACCGGCGCTTTTGGCACACTCAATGAGTCTCACATCGACTCATCTCCAGGCGAACTGGACGTCTACGGCCGCAAGTTGGTGACGAGGCCCACGCCGCAAAAAACGCGGGTCGTCCCAGCCACTCCGTTCGCCCGGGAAGATGCAGCGCCGCGGGAAGATGTGGGATGACAGGTGACTGAAGTGAGTGAGACGAAGAGATCGTTTTCTGGCGCAGTGTTTCAAGACAACGAATGAAGATGAGTGGTGACGCTCATTAGCCACACTGGAGCAACTCGTTCGATTGATTCAACTCGACCATTGATAATAGATGAAACAAGTTTCACAGGATACATTGAATCCTATTGTTTATGGAGACAATACAACATGACCAGCTGAACTATGTCAAAAGCAGACGACCCTGTGGCTTTAATGTTTATCAACACAACTGTGTATGACAGTGTATGACATACAAATTGCTCATCGAAGATCTAGCACCGTAAATTCACCATCACAAAGAGATGCATTTACTATCTTCCAAGAAGATCTAAGAACGAACTTTTCGACTGACACCGGTGCATTCCAGCCAGGCCCTCCAGATGCAAAGATCTCTTCTGTGGCCGTGGCGGAGCTGCCTTTGATGAGTCGAGTGGGGGTATTTGGGGTGTCCATGGGTGTCCCTTTTTGGGATCCACTTCGACCGTCACAAGTTGATTCTACGTTTACGTCCACACTTTGCGTTTGCGTGTCTCAAGTTTTGGACCTCTTATTTTGTGACTCGCTTCGCTCAACCGCAAAGGAGCGGAAGGGAGGCCAGTCGCGGGCGCGAGAAGGGGAAAGCCCTCCGGCGCGGACGGAGCTCCGAATGTCAGGTGGATTTAACATTGCTTGTGAATGCTGCTGCTGTTGCCAGCTCGACGAGATGCTCACGGAGTTCATGGCCCTTCGGCTGATAGGCTTTTTCGCGTGTGGCTATCTCCAGCTACCAATGGACCAAAGGGTATCGACGTCGGGTAGTTATTTATTGTTAAATGTGCCTTGCCTTAGAAACAAGAGGGGGCTTCAGTCAAGGTTTCAATGTCTCCCAAATCTATTCGCAGATCATGCTACCCCGTCACTGTATGACAGCTGACTTCACCTTTGTTTGAGAACTGACCTTCTGCACGAAACAGAAGGATCCTCCAGCATCGGGAGCTCAGGTCTCCACTCATCGCATCCTGGTGGAGCAGCGTGCCGCACAGCGCTATTGCCGCTGCACAGCCTTTTTGAGGTCGAGTCGAGCAGTTTTTCTTTTTTGGGTCGCAGAAGGCGTTTGAGGGTTCAAGGAGCTACTGACTGTTAGGCTTTGGGTGGAAGGCAAGGATTTCAGCAAAGTGCATGCCACAGTGCATGCCACGTATTATGCCACATTAGGGTATGGTGACAGATGTGTGATGTGTGCAAAGATGAATCACTGCATGATGAACAATGGTTGATCGACATCATTCTATATTAGCAGTTAGCATTTCAATGGCCCGCTGTTTGATGGTCTTTGTCTCCAGACCACTCAGACCACTGTTTGGCCAGGAAAGTGCCTAGCCTCCGAGTGACCTTCTTGGCGCACAACCAGGTGCTTTTTGGGGCGGAGCGGCCGAGCCCGAGACATGCCCGACATTCTCCAGTAGCCATAACGTACCCAAAACCTCACTCGCTTGCCGTAGGCTGCCGCCTACGTGGGGCTTATGCCGGTGAAGGCCCTCACGCGAAAGAAGATTCAGCAGGACGCAGCAACAACAGCTACATCGAGATGAGTTGACAAAGATCTCCAAAGATGTGCAAAGACAAACACATATCATACTTGATGGAAGCTGGTGATGATGCAATGCCTGGTTGAATTGTATTGACTTGTTTTTGGTTATGGAAGAGGCACAACTTGGTTTGGAGGGTTCAGGATGAAGAAGGCTGACAAGGTTGGCAAGCCCAAAATGTTGCCACGTTCGTTGAGGCAATTTTCTTATACTGTCCAAGTACCTCTCTCTTTACATCCCTTGTATTGGCACAACCTCTCCAAGTTGGTCGCTGTCTTCTGGCTCCGCGCCGGACCGCCCATCTTTAGCCGAAGGACTTCACCATCAAACTACTGCAGCAAGGTGCACGCGAATATCAGCAAGGCCGGCAGCATGACGCTCCGCCGAAGAAGGAACCGCTTTGACCAAGTCGTCCACCGGTTTGTCCGTTCCACCAGTCTGCAGCTTTGGAGAGAGGGTACCTTCCTTTGAAGTTGCCACCCGAGATGGGCTGCTGTACAAGAGAGTTTTCAAGGTTTTGGTAAAAGGACATTAATAATTAAGATCATGAAGGAAGATTGGATGCCCATGATTATGATGTACAACGGGTCTCTACAAGTTTGCAAATGCAGGGCCCATTGTACGCATGAGACCAGAGCAAGCTCAGTGCAGGCCTGATGTTGCATCAGAAACCGAATCTCGTCAGCAAAATGATTATTCCAGGGAGTGGGAATAATCATGGTAGCGGAGGCGGAGACTGGAACATCTCATGTGTGAACATTCCATAAAAACACATCTCATGTAGAGGTCATTTGAATTTGGAAGCACGTGCTCCATGAACCTGAATCCTTTTCTGAATGTTAAATAGCATGCTGTTGGTTCTAGTTCAGATGCAAAGTTGCTCCTATACTTCCCCAAATGCCCCAGCAGTGCCCCAGCTTGTTCCTCTCAAATTGGCTGTTTGAGCATGAGCTACAGATAAACCCAACATTATCCTAATACCGTTGAGAATTGAAAGCACCCCTCAACACATTTGCGTGTGCCTTGTACAAATCACTGTCAATGGATGTTCTTGACCTGCGTTCATCCAAAGTCCAAGGTATGCGATTGCGGGAAAGAAGGATCTTGGCCGCGGTACTTGCTGGGCTCAATCTGTCCCAGGCTACTCTTTTGGCAGGTGCACCAGAGTCCTTGTGGGGGGATCAAGCCAAGAACTACCTCCTCTCAGTTGCGTCAAGAGTTTGATAGCTTCCTTGGCCTGAAACATCTATATAATTATCCAAATTTACCTTCAGGACCGTTGAGTACATTTGTTTGTACTGTTCCTCTCATATCGTTTTGAACGTTGTGGTTTGAGCCCCATTGGAGCTATTGGTAGGAGTTTGTGTTCATCCACTGACAGCACTTATAAGATGTTTCAAGAGCCTCATCAGCCAAGTTTCTTTTGAAACCCGCCAAATTTGTCATGTCAGTCATGTCTTGCATGTCGCGCTCCAATATCCAAGGACTTGCCAATCAAGCACAAAGTGTGGGTCCCACACATCAATATGTGCCTTGGCTGTGCTGCAGCTCAGAGATCCCTTCTGCCCCAAAGTGTTTGTTGTGTTTGTTCTTTGCCCATTATGCAAAATCCCAGCGCCCTTTCTTGGACGTGTCTTGATGGCACATCAGACAGGCAGGAACCAGCTATTTGTTCTTTTGATGATGTGGAGTTACATCGATATGTTGTAGCATCAGACCCCCCCCAAATCACGGGCACAAAGGAAACGCGTGTCTCTCAAACTCCCACGAGTTGGCACTGTTTGACCAGGATCTTCGACCAGCTGACTCAGAGGGCGCCCATGCACGACGACGACAGTTCAGGAGAGATGAGTGGTCAGGTCAGTAAGGTTTCTGCTTTGGCCTCCCTTAGAAGAGCAGAAGCCTTTTGTGGTTGAAGACACACATGGTCTTACAGGTGCCAATTTGTTCCACTTTCGTTATTCGCAGGGTTTTGCACGTACCTGTCTTTTTTTTGGCTGGGTGGCGAACGGGTGGTGAACGGGTTCGCTCTCGGTGATTCGACCAGAGTCTCAAAGGCGCAAAGTCCCACAAGCAAACTCCATTGGTTGGGGAGTGCTAATATTTGCTGACATATTTCGCCAAACATGGTCCTTTTTGGAGGAGGTTCGATTCGTTCATCATTTGCGTTGAGGAGTTGAGGACGACTCCGATGAGGAGGAGTTCTTAGACCAGCTGTGAGCGGCTTCGCCTGCTTCGGTCGGATGCGCCTCTCGCGGTCATGACTGGGCACAATGCTGTCAGTTGAGACCTTTCCATATTTCGGGGCCTTCGGGACTTTGAGCCTTTGAAGGTCCTTTCATGGTGTTTGATCATTGAACCTTGAAATGTGTGCATGCTGCATGCCTGACTTGTTGGCGTAATTGACAGCAAATAGCAGACAAAGACCGGCTGACCAGCTAGACTGGAGAAGAGTAATGATTACAGGATGATGGGCTGTTTCATTGCAAGCAGAGGTGCGTAAGGCAAGCCTTGTTATAGAACCGCTTCTAGAAGAGACGACATGACCAGCAAAGGCCAACGTCTTGGAGCCCTTTAGGCCCAGTGGCCAGAGGAAAAAGATCCTCCAGATGGGCAAAAGACGTGAAAAGTCCGCGTTTCGGCAGACCTGCACTGACCTGCACACTTCATTTGTTGGTGTCTCTTGTCTAAGACCCAGTGACCGCTACATCATGACGTAGTGAATCATCCAAGGGGTGAGGTACTGTGAGGTGTGGTGGGAATCGGCATGTTTGGTTGGGGGGAATTCCTCACGACCCCATACTGGTCATTTGTAGCCCATACTGGTCCACGGATTTACCTGACCCATCCTGACCCGAGATACTCCCCGAAGAAAACTCAGCGTCATTCAACCGTATTCAACCACTCACAACACCTTGCATTTGCGTGACTGTTTGAAGGTGGTAGTACCACTACCCTGAGAGTAGAGATGAGTGCATATTATATAGGGAAAAGGGATGACCCATCAAGGCCTGGGCACGAAGGGTTTTACCCTCAGTCTCTGACCATTGTGACAATCAGGTGCAGGTGCATTGGTGTGCACTCCAAACACGGTCCGGTCCTAGTCCCCGGCTTGTGGCTGAGCTGCAGGTAGTGGTGGCTCAAAGCCCTGTGCTGTTTGAGGCGGGTTTGGAATGCGAGATGTCCTCCATGTTGGAATGGAGTCATCGATTGAAGCAGAGGGGAAAAACGATTGTAAAAGGATGTTTCTAGGACTATTTTGGTCCAGTGTTGCCTTGTAGGATTTTATGTTGGAGTTCAACGTGTGTTCCTTGCCGTTGATGTTTTATGACCTGTATGTTCTAGGACTGTTTAGTCCCTAACTTTTCTAGGGCAACAGAGAAAACCACAGAGAAGATCTACGACTTACAGCAAAGGACATTTATGAACAAAACAAGAAACACATACTAAACCAGCACAAAGAAAAAGTTGAATGTCCTATCTGTAAGATTAAGATAGGGAGAAACAACATGACAAGACATGAACGAACCAAACGTTGTCAAAACAATATGACCAACACAAAAGAAAGCAAACATGAACAAGAACCTAAAAACATTGAAAAAGAAAAAGACAGATTAAGAAGACAACAAACAATAGACTATATTAATGATACATTCCCTTCATACCAAGAACTCGGAACATAACTACAACCCATAAAACCTTACAACCTATAACCACAGCATAGTTACAACCCATAAACCCAAACCCAGAGCTAAACAAAAATCCACCTCATCTTAAAACCATTTGCCCTAGAAAAGTTAGGGACTAAAAAGTCCTAGAACATACAGATCATAAAGCATCAAAGGCAAGGTTCAGACGTTGGACTTCAACATGAAATCCTACAAGGCAACACTGGACCAAAATAGTCCTAGAACCAGCCTTTTACCATTTTTTAAGGGTTGGGTGGCAAAGAGATTTGCAGTTCGTTTGTCTTTTGTGTTTGCTTCCAACATCTACAGGTGATGCGAGGCCTATCATTTACAAGGTTTGGGGGTGCTTGAACGTGCTTCAGGTGTGAAACTGAAGCTGAGATCCACGTGCTTGGTGCACTTCTTGAGACTGCAAACAGGTTGATGTCTGGGTATGGCTCAGACATTGCCCCAAAGGACCTACGACCCGTGATCGAGACTCCAGACCGAATTCCAGACCGATGGTTGTGGGCCTATGGACACCTACTGTCCATACTCTTCAGATCTCAGCTGTTTGCCCGGTTGATGTTGGGCGGTACCATGGTGGTTCATCGGTCGAATGGGTGCAATGGGTACTTTGTTGCTGTGCCATGGTTGCCATGCTCTGGCTTTCTTCACTGCAAGGCCTTGGAGAACATGACCCTCACAGAGCTGCCCAAGGCGAATTCTTTGGAATCCATGGAGATTGGGAATCTGCGCAAATCCAAAATCGCTCAACTTGCAATTGAGGAGTCCGTTCTTTCACTCGTTCTTTCATCATTAGCTTTGTTCTTTTCTTCTGAGGAATCTCTTAGACTCAGAGGTTATTCTTAGGGGGGAATCAGGGATGTGTGGAAATCGGGAAATCAACGGCGCCAGGCGCCAGATTGCTAATGCTGCATGGTTTGTGTCCTCTCAACCCCTACCCGAGGACCCAATAGTCAGATGGGCAAATGATTCATCCCGGAACCACCTGGATCTCCCTGCTACAATGTAATGAATTCAATAGCATCTCCCCTGCAATCTCCAGGCTATCCCACATCTCAAGATGCCTTTCCAACAAATTTGGAAATCCTCGATCACAAATCCTTGATAGGAGAAGATCTCCGCAGCTCTCATACGAGTGGATGAGCGCATCTCACAGGAGGCGAGCTCGTTTGCCGATGGCAATCATGAATCATGCGAGAAGCAGACCTCCGTTTTCGCTAGTCTTAGAGGACCATGTATACCATGCAGCCTATACCAGCCAAGATGACAACAGACCGACCACAACGGACCTCTCATGAGACCTTTGCTAAATGAATGGGTTGCAGGTAAAGGTCATGCAGCGTTTATTTGTACCTCTTGTTCGCCGCCCTCCGTCAGGTGTGGCGAAGCGTGCTGCAATTCATGTATCAGGGTCAAGCCCTTGGAATCGGTTGGAATGTTCCGCTGGGTATTGAGCCATCCCGGAACTCTGCAATGGCCCTGCAAGCGGTGTCGAGGACTGTCCGAACTCGGAAGCACCAAGGCACCATTTTCCCGGAGCATTGTAGCTACTTGCAGGATGTTGGCAAGTGGTGTGCTTAGATGTGGAGAATTGCGTGTTACTCCTGTGACAAGTTGCAAGCCCCTTCAAGCCAATGCCACAGCATCGGCTTGCGTTATGAAGAGATCTTTTCACGAACAAGCTGCATTGATACCGACTTGTTTCGCACTTCCTGGGGCGATCATGCTTGATGGTGCTTTTTCAGCCAGCAGATATGTTCCCGTATTCACTGTGCAAGATTAGAGTACAGTATCACTCACCTTGCGAGACGTCCAATGATGAGAGAAGGACCTTGTTGCACCGTGCTCGTGGCATATCCTCAGGTGCGTGGAGCTTTTGCGTGCCTGCCTTCTCTACAAGTTGCCCGAACCCCTCCTGCGCTTGGCCCTGTGCTGACCTCAGCGCCGCGATGCCGCCCGGGACGGTCTGAGGGCGTTCAGCCATTTGAGGTCGCATCTCTTCCAGCTGCTCCCCAGCAGCCCGCCGAGCTATGCCCTCCAGGCTGTGCGAGAGGGGGTTCTGTGGAGACGGAGGAGGGGGAAAGGGGTGAGGGGTTCAGAAACCTGGATCTTCGAACCATGCAATATGTTTGCCTTTTGGCTGGTTTTACAGTTCGGAAGAGGCAGACATGTTGCACAGGTGGAAGAACTTTCGGCACGAAAAGCCAGATGGAATTCAGAGAAATCATTTTTTTTAAATGATGGGCTATGATGGGCTTGGACACCTAACCTTATTGATTCCAGATCCTTTGGACAAGGATCAAGCCAGAGACCCATACCCTATGAGATGACTGTTCATCACATCCACTTACTAAGTATCCAGAGATCCATTGAGCAATCATCATCAATCCACAAATACATCACACAGGGACGGGGCACACGGGTGCAGTCCTTTGCACACCCCTTTTGGTTTTGCCGACCACAGTTGCGCAAGCATGTCTCAGTAGCAGAGGTCTTTGCCCTCTGCACCGCCGATGAGCATGCAAAGAACGAGGAGACCAGCTCTCGGCGTCAGGGACCCCCAACAGGGACCGCCCACATCCCAACAGGGAAGAGTTTGGGTGTCCTGAAGATCTCACAGCATCTCGCATTCGAAGAGAGTCTTAAAATGTCTTAAAACATCTGAAAAAACTGCAGATGTCGTGGTCATTGCTGGTCTGCGTTTTGATTGGGTCTCTCAACGCATCCAAGACACCAATGAGGACTTGGCTGAGGCTTGACATATTATGAAAAGACCCAAACTCGAAACCCAAATGGAAGCTTCGTCAGAAGTAAACTTGTGCAGCTTGGAAGAAGTACATCTCACTGGTTCTTTACGCAAGAAACTGAATGCATTTCACTTGAGGGGCCTCAGAAAAATCCTACGGATGCCAAAAACATTTGTAAACAGACAGAATATATAACAACCAGCGAGTTTATCAAACGGCGTCAGACATTGCATTCCCACTAGGCAATGGCAGGATTCAGCCGTCAGCCGTTCACTGAAATTTTGGACGAAAGACGAATTAAACGTGCTGGACACATCCTTCGGTCACAAAATAGTGATCCTTTAAGGCAAGGTGCATAGCAACCTGACAGCACAGATCCTGTCGACATAGGTACAACACGCCTGGGCTGACCTAGGCAGCAATGGACATATAGATCCAATGAACTAACCCATGGTAGGATAATGATAAGCCACACTGATTATCATGGGCTTGATTTCCAAACACTAGCATCTTGATGGCCGCGCGTCAACGTAGAGTCTGAGCTCGAGTGCACTCTGGTGCCAAAGTACTTTGGACAATTCCTGCGTGTTTGCAGCAAAGGGTGCAAGGCGGCAGAAATAGAAAGAGTCGCTTTGATTTGCTACTGATTTGGGAACGAGTCATCAATTACTCTATTCTACTTGGGCCCTGTTTGACCAGAGGTATCGACTGGTATGACTTATGATATTGGGACATCAATCCCAGGATGTTCATTCGGTTCATCCTTTGTCCCAGCAAAGGAGGGCCTCCCAACCACCGATGATTGGGTTCTACTTGTAGGTCCATTGTCCCTTCCAAGGGCTCTTTGCGCTTTCTTCCTTGCTTTGCTTTCGCCAATGCCGAGTCAGAATCGTTGGGAGGACTTGCGCTGCCTGCGTGACGGGGCCGCGTGGGTCTTGCTGTACCAAGCGTGCGAGCGCCTAGCCGAAGCTGGGAAGTGTGAGATGGACAAACTGTGCAAGGAACCATATAATACAATTATAGACTAGACTGTTGATGTGTAAAACCGACCTTTCAGAATGACGTATTACATCTCCATATGACGGTCTTATCAATCAACAGTCTACATTATGTTTCCATAAGTCTAAGACGCAGCCATGCAGTGTCATAAGCACCTTGAAGAGCCCGGCGCTGCTCTAGTCACGTCCAGTTGCATGTTGAGGCTTTAGTCTGAACATCTTGTGAAATGCAATGATTGCTTTGCACAGTGCCGATGCCATCCCCGAGGCATAGTGTGTTCATTGACATTGAAGCGACCGATCTTTGCGACATCCTCTGCAAAGTGGTGAAGCCACCATGTTTTCGCAGATCGGAGGGATGCCGGTCATTTGGTCCGCCGCTGCTTCCCCTAAATTTTAAGTTTTGAATGATGTTGATTCTAGGCAGAACTTTGTAACGTATTAGGTTAAGATGGTTAAGCCCGTAGATCAACAGTTGTTGAACAACAAAAAATGACATATCTTTGAAAGACAGACATGAAGTCAGTTGGATCCTTCTTCAGTGTCCCTTCTCATGCCAGGTACGCTGCCTGGAGAACGCTGTCTTCGAGAACCCCGAACAGTTTCTTGGGCTCAGACAGTACACCGGCCTGGTGAACATGGGCCGGCGACAATAGGGGTTTATATATGATGATGTTGTTTTTTCCTTGGTTCCCTCTAGAAAAACCGTTGAGTAGGACTAGTACAGGAGCACCTTGTGGTCCCTTGCAAGGATTCGTTCAGATTGGCTGCTAAAGTTCCAAGTGCATGCAGGTCCAACCTTGTCCCGAGTGCAGATGGATACGTTGATAGTGGTGCTGCATGTAGTGGTGAACCTCCTCTTGAAAACACCTTATATACTGGTCCTGGGCTGGTAGAGGAAATTCATCAACCCCATCATAACCATTCTGGTTTGTTTGAAAATGAGGCAGCCGTTTCCGGAACATATTTTTCTTACCTTCCCCTCGTGTTGCTCTCTCAGCATCCTGTTCAATGTTTTGAGGCCAACCGTGATGGAGGTGCGAATGAAGGGAGTTTGATTGATGGATGGGACAGTGACATGACAAGTCATCTATGTATGAATATACACACACACTCTCCTTGCTTGCTCACTCAGTATTACTAAGTTTCAATTTCACGATGCAACGTGCGGTTTGAACACCTGGGTGGATAGAAGATTATATAACTACTAAGTAGTTGAAGGTTGATGCCCCCAACAGGCACCAGGGTAGAAAGCTTTGCAATGCTTTGCATGTTAATGTGGTGTTCAGGCAATAAGCACTATAGTGGCCTGACAGAATATTCTACCTCATGTTGATGTTTCTGTGCTCGACGCTGCAGGACCACTTGAGCTATAGCTTCCGCGGTGTTCCACAGGACAACCCTGCAAATCGGGGCGGGGCGTTTCCTGGCCGCCACGAATGGGTTCAGGGTTCAGGGGGACCTGCAACCCAACCAACTGATAACTGATGGATGCACTTACAACCACCCTTTGCCCTTTCGAGATGTTTCATTGGCACCGGCTGCGACGCCCCATGACGGTCACCGGGTTCGCCGGGAAAGCGGTGGGTTCCGAACCAGGACCTGCTGTCACAAACACTGCAGCTTGGCATCAACGCTGATGGGATTTCCTTGTGAGATGTTGGGAGAGGGTGGCGTGGAGAGTGCCATATTGAACCATGTGCAAGTGGCACATTGTGGCCTAGGGTCTCCATGGGATTCCACAGATCTCCATGGGTCTCCTGGTTTCCAGTGTCAGAGAATCTGGTCCGGTCTCAACACGATGAGCTCGCCGAGCTGCCTACAGATCAACTCTTTGCTTATTTGGATGTGCGCTTACCGTCCGCTCGCGCTCTCGCGGCACGATGTTCTGAACATCCCGACACCAGGTCCCAGAGTCGGAGCTTTTCGATGGGGGTGCAGGTTCCTCTGGGGGTTGGTGGGTGTTGGACTAACAACACCAATGGGCTTTGGCTTCGGTGTTGGACTGATAAAGCCATGTCGCACTTCTGGGCACCGGGGGGGAAGGAATGACATATATCCCGTTCGGAACGACTGCATAGCAGAGAACCTGGTTTTTTGAAGCTTTTGCGGTACTGAGGGCCTGGAAGTGGGGCCCATCTAATATATATATGCACGTTTGATTGCCGAATGCGGCCTCACCACACTGACTGGTGCAAGGGTGATATTTGACCGTGGCCACTGACCAAAGCCACCAAAACCATGTTCAAGAACAAAATAAATTAAGATCAAATTATAGGACTTAAGAATTAAGCATCCCAAAAGAAAAAAATAAAACACATCATAGTGTACCAGTAACTTGGAGCATCATCAATCAGTAGTTTTTACATCAATGGAGACTGATCTTGGGAGTGGAGTTTCGGAGGCGGCGAGTGACGGACACATTGTCACATGGCATGCCTCGCCGATCAGGATGACATGCTGCACAGCATGGCCGGGTAGCTTGGTGTGGTAGGAACTTCGGCCACGTGGCGCGCGCGCGGATGCTAAGCACTTGGAGAAAGCAGCCCTTGGATGCTGAGCAGGTACAAAAAGCCACTACTAAATATTAAGCAAGCACAATGAATGGGAAGCACAAAGAGCGTATTTGCTTGTACGTAAGTCTGCCTGAAAACCACACCATTTGTTTTGTATGTGGATTTGTCATGTTCGTTCTACAAAAACTGTTACTGTACTGTAATATAATTTGAACATGCTCTTTCTGGGTTTGTTACCTTCACATGGTTGATTTCGCCACCGGGTTGTCGATGTGTTGTAGGCACCTAGTTTGGCCCGGACTCATCTTGAACTCACTTGTATCAACAGCATGTTTCTTAAATTGTTTTTCTGCCGGAACGCAAGCAAGTGTTGGGAATCTGTGGTTTCGCCTCAGGATTTTGGATCGTTGAAAGGTTGGCAGGACCAGAGGCGCTGCAGAGCATGGACGTTTCGCCGGGCAACATATATAATATTTACTATATAGGACATACGTGACACGTGACCTTTATTTTGGACCACCAACCACCCCAAATTATGTTTTGTTCAACCAACATACATATGTGTTTATACAGGCAAAGTCCAAACAGCAAGTTGCAACCTTTAGCTCCTGCAATCAAGGTCACAAACCCATTTGCAAGTTGGCATAAATGCCGGTATTTGGTGTATGTGTGTACCCCTGGAATCACAGGGATCCTGTAGGATTGTTTTGTTGCTTGAGTTCTTTCAGCAGGGGGCACCGGGGGGTGCTGATGAGACCGGTGCTAACAAAGACGCTCCTCAGTTACCTGTGATACAGTTGGAGACGTCCAAATGCGTACCTGCAGAGTTCTGACTTCCATTTCCTACTGCAACAAGCTGACCAGCCTTTGCATCTGTTCACCATCGGCAGTCACGCACCTGATCTTGATTTTGAGCTTGCAGTTTGAGATTGGAGGTGAGGGCAGTCTTTTGGCGTTTTGTTTACCTCGACCCTTAGGTTTTTCACTTAGGCTGGCGTGTGGCAACCGCTTTCAGTTCCGTACGCAAAATCATAAGTGTGTCTGGCTTCGTCGTGCCACCCCACAGTCACCCCGAAGAGTCGCCCCTGTGGACCCGTCGAACGGGGGTTTGTCTTTATCTCCCCTGCCCGGAGATGTACGTGCCCAGAGCGGGCGAAGTAGGCTTCGGCCAAAGTTATTTGAATTCTAAGCTGGCTCATGCCTTTACGTGACCGCAGCGGTCTAAGCTGGCTTAACGCCTCAACGTGGTCAGAGCGACCAAAGCCATTATGAGGTTCATTGGGACCTGTCGGGACCTTAGATTTCTCTCTTTCTCTCTTGGGTGTCCCTGGATGCTTGCGTCATAGCTGGGAGCCGAGTCGTAGCCGGGAGCACCTCTGTCTCGCTCCCTCTTGTCTCTCTTCTCTCTCTTCTCCCTCTTCTCTCTCTCTCTCTCCGCTTCTCGCAGGCTCCTTTTTCACCCAACCTTACCCTCGTCCGGAGCTTAATTGAAAAGGAACGCCTCCCCTCGGGAAGGCGTGTGTGTGAACGCTTGGAGTCACAGGGATCCTGTAGGATTGTTTTGTTTCTTGACTTCTTTCAGCAGGGGGCACCGGGGGTGCTGATGAGACCGGTGCTAACAAAGACGTTCATCAGTTATCTGTGATACAGTTGGAGGCGTCCAACTGCGTACCTGCAGAGTTCTGACTTCCATTTCCCACTGGGCCCCGTTTTAACAACAAACTGACCACCCTTTGCATCAGTTCACCATCGGCAGTCACGCACCTGATCTTGATTTTGAGCTTGCAGTCTGAGATTGGAGGTGAGGGCAGTCTTTTGGCGTTTTGTTTACCTGGACCCTTAGGTTTTTCACTTAGGCTGGCGTGTGGCAACCGCTTTCAGTTCCGTACGCAAAATCATAAGTGTGCTCGTGGAAGCCCTTGCGGGTTGGACAGTGCCTTCGAGGAAGTAGAGTTCAAAGAATGCTGCCCTATCCTTGCTTGATTTGAGTGGAGATCCTGCAACTACTGTAGCGATCCACACGGAGAATGCTCGTGCCCATGTGTTTTTTCAGTCTCATTTTCAATCAAAGGTTGCAAAGCCCTCAAGCATATCACTCAAGAAAACACTAGGAAATATTCGGAAAAAATTTTTGTCTCCGTTGTTCTTGAACATGATTTCGGGCAACTCTGCCTGACAGAAGTGATGTTTTCCTTGCGAGACCCTTCACCGATGGACAGGTCTACTGGACGCCTGGAGCCTAGCGGAGCCTAGCGACCCGAGCCCCGAAGAAGTCCGCAAACTCAGTCTTGCAACGTCCCAAACCATTCCCGTCGCATCACACGGTCTTGCAGAAGTCTAGACGTTGATTGGCCAAGTTGAAGCCCGAGGGGCGCCTCCTTCGAACGGGCGGTGTGCCCCAGGCTTGGTGATGTATTGAGCAACGTCCCCGGCTTCGCCGCCCAGCTGTATGAAGTGAGCCGTGGTAGGCCTGGTAAGGGGACAACGGCCTCAGGGGAACTGAAGGACTGGCCCAGTTGTTTTCCTCGCTTTCCACGTCGAAGTGTAGGTTCATGCAAATGGATGCACCGCATCAAGCGAGTGGCGACCACGGCGACCTATGGGGGGGGCAAATGACACATGTACCAACGTACTATTATAATCTCAACTATACTTGGAATTTGTAATATATATATATATATTCACACCCTCAACATCCCTCAACTACTTAGAATCTTCTTGATGTTCTCAGGGTCCCTGCCTACTAGTTGCCGGTATCTATACAAAAAATAAAATGCATCTATTATGATAGTTTAAATACTGGGGCAAGAAATCGGTCGGCAAGGTTAGCGGGAACAGCCCGGGAGAATCTTTCCAGGCATTCCTTTGTACCTTCAACAAGGTTAAGTCAAGTGGTACCATCTAGAAACTCTGAACTAAACAGGAAAGGACAATTGCCTGGTGCATGCCTTTGAAGCTAACTTATTTTTTTAAAACTTCCCTTTGTTCGGCAATTGTGGGGCCTAGGTATAGAGTGCCTTTGTTTGCTGCTGTCTCTCAGACAATGCAGATGAGGAGCAACATTTTGACCAACCAATCCTTTTGGACGCTTGGATAGGTTCCGTATGATGGGTTAAGTTGTAATTACTGTAATTGGTTTGCATTGTGAGAAGATGCCTATCAAGGTCATGCAGGTCGGTTGACCCATTTGTTCAGAGCAATGCCAGGAAACAATTGGTGCGCCATTGTTGGAAGAATGGTTTTGACTTGGAAGGATCGGGCGATAATTTGTCTCCAGTGTCTCTCAATCCAGCATCATGAAAAATCTCGCTTGATGCACAGTTCACATCAGCCCGTGCTGTTGCAAGGTTTCAGCTCTTCCGAAGTTTCACCCTGCAAAGTATATAACCAATTGCTGACCTTCTTTATTGATAAGTTGTATGACATTTCCGATGCTCTTGGCTTTGCCGTGGATTCTGACTCCATTTCAGATTAAGGCTGTGAAATTGTGACCTTGCAGGTGAGAACGTCCCTTGCTGGCTTCTGCAAAAGCCCGAATCTGAGCGGTGCGACGATGTCGCTTGCAGTGATCCGGAGAAGAGACATCGTCGCAACCCGCCAGCAGACACCCCAGTTGCTTGCTCGCAGTGGTTTGGTATCTGGAGAAGAGAGATCGTTGGCAGCCGGCAGCAGACACCCCAGTTCCTTTGCTTTAGCAGACTAAGTAGCAGACTATTGGTTGGCATCACTGTTGAAGGGTTACGGCCCTTTCGGGTGAACAAATGGGTGATCTCATGGAACATAGTTATTTGGTGAACTGCCATGAAGTGCCTATAGGGCCTATAGCATCATCTTAGCCCATAAACATCTATGCAGCATGACTTGGCCGCCGTCAGCATCCAACCCCGGAAGAGCTGATCCAGGATTTCCATGTGGAGCTGCGTTTGCTGCCGCGCTGAGTTTGCTGCAAGCAGGCCAATTTTGAGTCATCAGGTTGGAACGCAAAACTCAAATTATCGCCGGCATGGTCGTTGATCCTAAGGCAAAACATCTCACATCATCTCACAACATCTCAAGACCGTGTTTAAGTCTAGCGTGTTCATCCCAACCCTTTTTCAAGGGGATAGCCGGGATAGCAATCTGCGAGGTACATCAAGGTACTTTACATGAAGGGCATATCAGCTTTGGGTTCTTGATGAGGAACACCTTTTTGTCCTATGGCCAAACAGGTGCCTATCGATCCTGACCATATCAATAGAGTGCGTTCTTCAAATCCAAGAATAAGCACAAGAAGGAAGACGAAGAGGGAAGAGTGGAGGGAGAGAGAGAGAGAGGAGAGAGAGAGGAGAGACAGATGAGTGGAAGAGAGAGAAGAAAGAGAGAGAGAGAGAGGAGAGAAACAGAGACCCAGAAGAAAAATAACAAATTGTCAACTACGAAGGAAGGCGGCCAAAAACGTTAGAAAAAGTGTCCGGCAGATGAGTTGCTGTGGTCCACTTCTACGACTCGAGGTTTATTGAGAGGTGCGACCTCTCCAGGAATCGTGCGACAGGCGCACTGCTTTGAATTCACTGACATAGTTTCCGTGGACCTTCTGAGTGTTCTCAGCAAGTGTGTAGTACAAACCAGCGTCGTCGGTGGCCGCCTTTGCTTTGGTTGTAAGAACAATGGATGACACAATACATCCTCTATAGATATTAGATAAATATCCCCCAGATCTATATAATAGATCACTATGGCGGTCGTAGGGACTCCGCGTGTCAAAACAGATGACTCCGCTGCTTTTCATCTCCTACAAAGATGCGAAGCAGATTGACACGAGCGAAACGGCCCTGGCGAAATGGCCCTGGCTTGGCTTGCGGGAGTCGATTCTTGGGAGATCCGCCATGCACAGCTGTTAGTGTTCCGCTTGCTGGAGGCAATTGGGCCAGTGGACACTGCTTCATTCCACGGAAGTAGGGTCTGCGGGGGGCAAGCCATGTTTGCAGTCAATTCCGTCATGTTAACTGGTTGTTGAAACATGTTGAAACTATCACTTTCGGTATTGTGATTAACTCTGTGTGAATCCCCCACTTGGCCAAGTCCAAAGTCGAAGCAGTCAAGAAGCAGTTTGGCTCGAATGCGCTCTCCGGTGCCACGGGCTATTTTTTTTGCCCGCTTTGATTCGCATTTTAAATCTCCCCTAGGTTTGCTTTGGCCGTTGGGAGTCTTCGCCGCCCATCCGTCTTCTCAGGAAGTGGCTGGGTAGGTGGCAATGGATGGCAGTTGGTTCATTGTTGTTGTCTTCCCAAGGTCTGGAGCGTTGATCGTGGACCCAAGTTATCCGGCACAAGCCAAACCTGGCAAAATGACCTAAAGCATCCTAAAGCGCAGAAGCGGTCAGAAGGGTACCCCGACTGCGCTCGCACGAAGATGCGTCAAAACAGACTTGTAATCCATGACTTGAATCGAGATCTCTATCCGAGATGGATCGTGTAAGAGAGTTGTTTACCTGGTGGATCTCTTTTAGTCAAAGCCGTCGCCTCGTTTGAGTGTAAACCCGCGCACTCCTCGGTTTCACCTCATGTGTTTTCCATGTGTGGATCAGTGCCACAATCCGTCAAGAGTGGGCGGGGGTTCGGTATGGATCGGTTGCATTGTTCATGTCGGTTCGAGACAGCAAGACACGAGGTGTTGGGATGAGGGAAGGCGACGAATACGGGACTCTTACCTGTTAATTAGGGTGTTTGAGCAGTGTTTTTTTTGGGTTTTAAATGGTTTTAATGGACAATTGTTTCCATCCTTGCACTTTTCAGAGCCATCAACTGAGCTTCCAATTTTAAATTTGCAGGTTCCATGCCTCAAGCTGCTCAAACATGAGCCATCAGACAAGATCGTAGGTCGGAGATCCCCAAAGCGATAGATCACAGCCCTGGGCCAGTCCCTGGGCCCTATCATGCCAGCGCATAGACAGGCGGATTACTTCAAGGCTGATACCCTTTACGTATCACGTATCGAGATAAAGTCTTTCACTCCTTCCTTGTATGAAAACAGCCAGCAGCCGAAGGCGCATAGTAGCATGGTGCTGAATTTCTGAAGAGCTTGTCTCAAGCTTGCTGTTCTGCATACGTGATGTTAGAAATTTTAATGCAACAGGATCGAACAAGTTCAATGATATCAAGAAGCAAGTGAAATTGTAAAAAAGGGTTCTTAGTTACAGGATCTTACAGGACACCAGGTGCGGTTCCTTAGTAAAAGATGCATACCAGCCGCTTCTTTCGCGATGAGCATGAGGACAACAGCATACCATGCGTCATTGAGTACAGGTCGAATATACCAATGTTCATGGTTCATGCATGTTCATGCAGTAGATTGTACAGTATTGTGTTTGTCCTATGGTATATACCTATTTCTGCTGGCTAGTTCTCTAAACTGCCCCCTTTCGGAGCTTTGGGTGGGGTTAGGCCCGCGGCTGGGGAGCCTACGGTTCCAAAGAAGGGCATAGTGTTCCCAAGTAGTTCAGTGTCATTTTGTATGTTGTTTCTGAGTCTTTCTGATATTTTGGGTGGTTGTGGTTGCCTGATACTGGAAGGCACTGACTAACTATATGTGCTCAGGCTTGCGATCCCTTCTCATAGGCTTGCAGATTGGCCACTTGCTTAATCTTGATGGCCTCTCCACACACTCGCTTTCGTTTGAGCGCAGGAAACTCCTCCAGAGAGCGGTTCTGAAGAGGCAGGACGAGACGCTCATGGTTAGGAGAGATGAGGTATGAGGGCGTGACGGGAGTGCCCAAATTTGTGTCACGGATGCAGCTTTGATATTAAACTACGGATGAAACAATGAATCAATCCAACTAATGAAGATTTTGGTGAATGAACACGTATCATGTTGCAGGGCAGCAACAGTTACTGGGATAGCCCCACGTTTCCGCAACTTCTGGAGAAAAGATCCTTGAGTGCACAGTGTTGCTGGCTGTTTTCAGCGAGCCAGCACAGTCAGTACAGCCCCAAGTGCCATGATGCAAAACTCATTGATAGAGCACGGCTCCATCCAGCATGGGACCTGAGCCATCTACTCATGCTCTAGTAACACTGGAATGCAGATGGCCACAAAATTGCCCAACAAGGAGGAAACTCCAAAGATTTCAGTAATCCACATTGTCCTTCCTAGGAGGGCTCTCTAAACAATTCTAAGCACAGTTCCTTGCGCCGAACGGCCTACCTGCCTTCCTTTCTGACTGCCAGTCTACTTAGTCTACTTCCGTCAGCCAAATGGAGTGACTTGTGACATTCGGCGACCATGTGCCATGTCGCGCGCGTGTGTGCAATGTATGGACCTGAGGATTGAACAGGGAAGAAAAGCATCTCTTGCTTTGTGGCTGCAGAGGATGGAAGGCCTAAACTAAAACCTTGTCGATAGGTATCAGAAGCTCCACAAGTTGTTTGGTTTTTTTTCCCATTAGTTCCCCCCTTCGCATCAAATCACGCAAATCAGATGAAGCCACCGACGACCCCATGTCTGTTTCTCCAAACACTCCATGTGCTTCGCCGAGGCACGCTGCTGTGCGCGGACCCTGCGGCCAGCTGCTGCAGCCTTTGCGGCGGGGCCCTGACGAAGACCTTCAACAGGCACAGGGGGGAGATGCGGAGGTGCAGGGCGCGTGGAGAAACCAATACCAGACTGACTGTAACCAATTACTGTAAAAAGACGAGAAGCGCAAGCCCTTCTCCTCTTCTCAAACTTCTCACTTTTCCAAGTATTTACACAAAATATCATTTTAAGTCAATGATAATGCATTTGTGATCTATATGTTTATTGCCTTCACCAAAAACCTGCGTTCACAGACACCAAGTGGCCACAATCCCATCTAGCTTTCAATGGGTCCACCAAGGCACGCAGAACTCACCAGAACTCGAGTCGGAACGATCAGTCATGTGCGGAATCGATCATGTCAGCCCATCGTATGAACCTGGCCTGCATGTTCATCTTTTGCTGCTCCGAGATGGAATGCCTAGATGTTTGTATTTGGAATATGTTCGGTCGCCGAGTCGCCTCAAAGAAAAAGTGTTGCATCCAACCAACGGATTCTCGTAGAGAAGGCAAACCTGACTTTGGGAAGAGTGGCCCAGTAGAATGCCAAAGAAAACAAGACAAATTGTCATGCATCATCCGCCAAGAACATATGCACTTGAGCCATGATAGACAATCTTCTTGAATCACTTGTCACTGCCACCTAGATGCAAACATTGGCAAACTGAAGACATCCGAAGCAATTATGGCTTTTACTGCTGCTCTCCGCTATGTGAAGATCTGAACCCCTACCCACCATCCGGGCGTTAGGTTTCTCGAATTTACCCCCCACGGCTTTTTGCTCAGTTTTTGCACTACGGTGCTGGACATTTGGAGTTGTGTCACGACCTACCGGTGCCTCCACCAGTGCCTCCCGGTACAAAAAAGCACTGCACCGTCATGCTGGAGGTCATTGAACAGTGGCACATGCATCGATTTGGACGACGACTCTCAGCAAGAAGTAGGTGGCATCGCAGAAACCTTTTTCTTCGCTGGGCATTGGGCATGTTTCGTCCACTGGGTTTACTTGCACTCTTTCAGCGGGCTTTGTCAGTTTCTTTTTTAATCATGACTCATGTGCCTTAAGTAAGTATCCTTAAGTAACAAACTGAGCTTAACCCTAGGCATACGACTGATAGCTGATAGGGAGACGCAGCATGGGACGGGTTTGGTGGTTCTTCCATTTTCGGTCGATGTCCTGTGGAGGTGCTGATTGCGCGAGACAAAAGAGCCGGGCGTGTCCCAGGTGTACCTTGATTTGTTCCCAGGCGGCAAGAAAACACCACAAGATGCACCGCTTGAAAGCAGGGTAAGAAACAATCTTCTTCTGGGGGTCGTTCAAGTCCACCCAAGAACGAGCAATGTTAGGTTCCCAGCTTTCCCATATCCTATCACGTTCCACGTTGTTCCAAAAGAAAGCGTTTGACAAAGAGCAACGTGCATTGGAAATGCTTTGGAATTTTCAGGCCACTCCAGGGCAGGGTCTTTGTGGCTAGATGACGCCCTCATGGCCTGAAGTTCATGGATGATCGCACACGGCGCACACCAGATTCGGATCATGTGATCAGATGCGCAATGGGTCAGACTGGAGCTATTGTAGTATACAGTATATCAGCATATAAGATGACCATAGTATATCTATGGATCACTATTTATCCAATTGATTCCGATTGCTGCTTCCACATCCACCTGAGGTGAGTCGGATCTTTGCGATGCATGCGGTGCTGAAATGGAGCCTGTGAGGAGAGAAGACCGTCCTTCAGTCACAGTCCACCCGAATAAAAAACATGTCAAATGGCTGAGCCCCTAGTAGCGTCCTTGCTCCTAGTAGTAAGGCCAGGAGCCCCGATCGTAGCTTCTTATTACTAGTAACTAGTAGTAAGAATGCTACTAGTAGCGATGCCAGGAGCCCCTTCTGTCGCTTCTGTCCCCTGCATGTTGGACATGTTATCTCCGGGACGGGCTCCCCGGCGACTCGCGCGCGTGTGTTCACTCATGCCCCCCGAATCGACCGGGCTCTGGAGTCCTAAGTGAGTGGATGTGACAGGGGCACCCCCCACTTCCTCCGCTCCTTCGGCACCCCCCAGTCCCACCGGGATTTGCGGGTTCCACCGGTTGGCACCAGGAAGCGGCCCAAGACCGAGACGACAGGGCACGGGGCCGCCCCTGCGGCTTGGTGGAAGGGCGTTGAAGTCGTGCAAATGGCAGGTCAGACCTTGAAGTCGTGGTGTGGAGTTCTTGCAGATTGGTTTTGGCCTGTATAGCGTAGGATCTCAAATTTCGGAAGTCTTGGTTGTTGCGTTTATATAGCTTGGTGGAATCTGTGGTGTGTCATAGCCACGGCTATTTCCACTGCTGCTTTGCCACTGCCGGTGCTGCCCGCGCTGCTTTGTGCTGCTTTGCCCTGCTGCGTTGTATCCTTGGAGGCTTTGCTGCTGGTTGCTGTTCACTTCCTATTTCACGTACCTCCTTGATGCATGTTCACATTCCACGCTATTTAGTGCTTGCCAAATGCAACAATAAACCCAGTGTAGATGTGAGGGTGGCTTTCCGGTAGCGAATAGTTTGCATTTGCAGTGGGGAGAAGTGTTATCACTTTCAGGGGAGAAAAGACTCTTCAATTTAAACCGCACATTGCAACCAAGCTCTTCGTTTTGAGGTTCTACCATCAGATCAGAAACGAGGGTTTATATAGATGACCACATGTCCGGTGTCCGTTACGTGCCAGGATTTTTGCTCTAGGGCTATGCCAGGACCCCCCTACTGGTAGTGGCTCAGCAACGTGTTTTTGTCCTATGCCGCCTATGCAGTGACTGGCCGGGTGTAACCGTACCTACCACGGAGCCCTCAGGGATCAGCCATCCACCGAGGCCTTGTCGCGTCCACCGGGCATCGCAGACTTCTTCAGCCGTCGAGCGGAGCCTTCGCCGACGCCGACGTCGATCGGAGCAGCTTTGGCGACGGCGTCCGCTGTGGCGGTGAGTGGGAGACTGAGGACTGGCGAGCGTGGAGTGAGCACTGGGCGTTCCTGGAAATGACTGGGCAGTTGGATGGGTGTTCTGAAATTAGTTCCGGGATGAGCTTCTATTGGAGCTCTACTGCTTCAGTTTCTGGACGAAGTATATGGAGTGGTTTGCAGCAGCCAAATAGGTGCAGTCCAATCTACTCGGATTGCTTGGAAGTGTTTTGCACCTGGGACCGGAAGACATGAGGCCACCAGGCTCGCTGCCTCCCCTCGCGCCTCACAAGGTGAGGATCCGCCCTTGCCACCACCGGCGGAGCCACCGCCGGAGGCGGGGTTGAGCTCTTGCGTTTTGCGGGTTGGAAGTTTCATGTTTCTCCTGAGGAGAAACATGGTGAATGTCAGTCAAGTAAAAGAGTGAATGTTGGTTTGGGTTGAGAGGAAAGACTTAAAGGGGACTATCACTATCCATGTTTTAGTCACTTGCAGCAAACAGCAATCGAACTTATCTTTAGATTATATAAATTTATTGATACGCGTGGTAGCTTCAACAGTTTCAACCATAAGGCATCGAGCGTTCAAGACATATTTCACTGCAAGATACTCTACACTGTACACTACAAGATGCTTATCCCAGACAATAGCTTGGGCATGGCTGGGCGTTCTTTTGCCCTCACTAGCTTTGGGGATCCAGCCATTGGCCATGGGAACTTGCTGTGAGAAGAATACGAATACACTGTCCACCTGTCGCTGGACAGGAGCCCCATGCGACCGCTTCATACGAACACCCGCCAAGTTCCTTGTAGACCACACACATCCCTGTGTAGTGCTTGCCACGCTGCTCAACTGAGTTCATGGGAGGCGTTGGGTGAAGAGCCCAGCGGCTCGTGGTGTGCGGCTGAAGCGGCCAGCGAGCTGGTCAAGAGCTGCGAGAGCTTTGGCCATGCTCGAGTGACCAAGGGTGCCTGATCGCAATGATGGTGGCTGAACAAGGGATTTAGGCGATGGATCCAAGCAGTTGTGTTTTAATGTGTGTATTTCATAGTTGTATATAGATGTACGTATGTGTAGCTATTTTATGTTATTTTCGGTCGGGTGCACACGCACACATGCTACTTTTTTCGGTGTGAAAGATCATTGTTAGAATCGTGGTTCGCTGCCGACACGCTGCAAAACTATTTGCTTGAAAGCCCAGTGCCTA